AGGAAAGTTGGTTGGTTGGGACAATGCCTCATTAAAAACCAATTCCTTAGACAGAATAGCGTCGCAAGGGGACTAGTAGCAACAAGGCTTTTAAGCCTTTGGCTATAGAACTAGTATTCCTCCCAGAAAATTTCCTAATTCATGTGTTCTCATATTTGAAGTAAAATCGTTTGGGAGATCTATACAATTGTAGATTGACCTAAGGATAAGGCTTAAAACACGAGTGAATAATATCTGAAGAGTAAGAATATGCGTAATCTATTCTTAAATGGCACTAAACTCACCTAAAAAAGTACTAAATCATGCATAATATGCATTTAATTCAGACCTAAAAGGCTCCAATATTATATTAGATTTATTACTCTTTTTTTTCCCTCTCTATCTACACACATATGGCGTGAAATTTGGAATTTTGATATACCTAATCACCAAATCTTTTAACATTTGAAATAGTTTTTAATATACATTATTATAGTTTTAAAAGGAGTTATTTTTTATCATGGATTGCCTCAACCCATTTAGCAATGCCTCGGGGCTTAAGGAGAATCTCTTAAAGTCCCAAATTTTTTGTTCCCCTAACACTGATGCAGGTTTGAAGGGGAGAATTGGAGACCTGATGGGCATCCCGGTCACCTCTCATCTTGACTCATATCTTCGCATTCCAATTCTTCAAAAACGGATCTCCAAAGATACCTTCTCTTTTATTATTGACAAGATGTGTCGTAAGCTTGCCACTTGGAAAGCAAGTGCCCTCAGCATGGCAGGCAGAAGGACCCTGGTTCAAGCCTCGCTTGTGACCATTCCAACCTGCACGATGCAAACTCATTTACAATGGCTTTACCGGTAAGTACTTGTAAACTCATTGACAAGATCTGTAAGATCACGCAAAGGACACAAGAAAAATCCACATGGTTAGCTGGGATGAAATCTATAAGCCAAAAATCGCGGAGGCCTAGGTCTCAGAACAACTCAAGATTTTAATCTGGCTTTCCTGACCAAGATGGTCGGGCATGTCCTTACCAATCCGGATAAGCTCTGGGTCAAGATTATGAGGGGAAAATATGTTAAAAATGGCGATTTTCTTTCCACGTCTGCCACTGCCAATAGTTCATGGGGGTGGCACAGTATTATGAAAGGAAAAAATATCCTAAGCAAGGGCCTACGGTGGAGAGTTAGTACAAGTGCATCCATAAATTTTTGGCACGATCGATGGGTGGGGGACTCTCCTCTTGCTTCGATCAGCCCCCTCCCGATTTCGTTGAATTCTGCCAACCCGAGTGTCAAAGATGTGATGGAAGACAATCGTGCCTGAAATATAGAATCTCATAAATCGCTCTTACCTGGAGACATTATCAACCAAATCCGTGCCATTCCCATTCCGCTTACGAGTCAAATGGACAGACCAATCTGGCCTCACTCAAACTCAGGTATGGTCACGGTAAGTTCGGCCTTCTCCTTTATTTCAGGGATCAGTGAAAATTCCTCAGACTATGAGTGGATCTAGCGACAGCAGATATCCTCAGGAGAGCCAACTCGGGTGAGTATGAGGATTTCCAAGCTCTCTTTAAGCATAATGGCCTTGTGACCGCTAAACAGATCTAGGTGCATTGGACTCCCCCTGATACGATCCCACATCGGCTCCACAAGAGATTGTGGAGTGGCACTTAAGTTGGGGCCAAACCTCCACTCATGAGCTAGCTTTTGTGGTGGAGTTAGGGTCTTGGCTTGAGTACCGTATCATTTGGTGCTTTCATTGAGAGGCCGAAGTGTGGTGGGAAAGAGCTACATGGAAGAGGGCTACCCGGTGCTTGGTAAGGTTCAAAGGGAACCGAGAAGAGTCTAGAGTGAAAGCAATCTAGAGTGAAGCCGTCCACTCATCCGGTGTTGGCCTAGCGGAGGGGGCGACCTAGAAAAGGGCTACCTGGTGCTTGATAAGGTCCGGAGTAAAGCCATCCAAAGGGGAAAAGGGCTACCTGGTGCCGAGAAGAGTCAGGAGTGTGAGCCGTCTAGAGTAATGATACAATCCCACATCGGCTCCATAAGAGATTGTGGAGTGGTACTTAAGTTGGGGCCAAATCTCCACTCATGAGCTAGCCGGTGGAGTTAGGGTCTTGGCTTGAAGAAGAGCAACACATACAACCTCAGGGTTGTATCAATTGGTGCTCTTGTTGAAAGTATCAACCTGAAAAAATTATTTTCAGGCTTGTTCGAAAAAAAAAATTGCATTCCAAATTGCTTTCTTTTCTGGAGTTGGTATACGTCTTGCATACCTTCTTGCTACAAGAATGATGCAGACATAGCCATCAGGTTGATAATGGAGGCCGTAATATATATTGTTGTTTCTGCTTAGTTACAACACCTTTCACCTCCTACACTAAACCCTCAATCTGCTCCAACATTTTCCGTGGCTTGAAAAGGTTTCCATTTTTATAATTAGTCATGCCAACTTCAACTTCATCTCCAACACCACCATATGGCTCAATCGCATTCAGTTCTAAAGGGTATTCAGATGGGTTCACAAACCCGTTGAGAAGCACGTCCGACGATCTGCATATGTCGTTGATCAATCTACACCTGCCAACCAAGAATTGTGTAGAATTGCTTCCAAATTCAACGGTTGATGCTGAATCAATTAATTTGCTGCTATGGATTAATGCAGTTATTGCAGATATTTTGGGACAGAGATGGTCAAGCTTTTGGAGCTACGTCTTGTTAATCATGACCTTGAGGACAAGGTAATTTTGATGGGCATGGCAATGATACGACCATCCACTGTGTACCATCACCTTGAGGACAAGGTGATTTTGAAGGGCATGGAAATGATACACCCATGGTGTTGCTAGAGTTATTATTAGTACTACTACTACTACTACTACTACTACTACTATTATTATTATTATTATTATTATTGTATAATGGGATAACCACTATTTTAGGCATGTAATAGGTAGTTATACAAGTAGTGGGGTAGTGGATAGTTAAAGGGGTGGTGGGTAGTTTCTATGATCTGTATAAATAGCTACCTATGTAAATGAAGGGGGATATTAATGAAGAATATATTTATGAATGTCTGGAGACATTGTGGAAGTTAGACTATCACTCGAAGTATAGTCATTGGGAGTTCGGCTGTCACTTGAAGCACAGTCATGGACTTTGGCTCTTGACTCAAAGAAGAGCAACCCATACAACCTCAAGGTTGAATCAATTGGGGCCAAACCTCCACTCATGAGCTAGCTTTTGTGGTGGAGTTAGGGTCTTGGCTTGAGTACGGTATCACCCCCTCTCGCCGGTGTAATAAAACTCAACTCAGATGGTGCAAAGAAAGCTGCCTCTAGTATGGGTAGCGCTGGATGTTTTCTTCGAGATCACAAGGGGATTTGGATGATGGGTTTCACTACTAGAATTGGGATCACTAGCAGCTTTGTTGCAAAGCTTTGGGGATTCTGGGAAGGCCTTCGATTTGCAAAACAGTATGGCTTTGGAAATATTGAAGCAGAATCAGACTCAATGGCTGTTATTCAAGTGCTCAAGGCCGAGGCTGGTCCTTTAATGGAGGAAGATTCTCTTATACTGGATTGCAAGAGGCTCCTCCACAGTTTCAACAGTTTCAAACTCAATCATGTCCTTCGGGGAGGGAATTAGTGTGCCGACTACCTCGCCAACTTGGGTCAGACATCTCCGTGGGGCACGACTATTCATTATGATCCCCCTGTTGGTTTGATCCCGCTTCTAATGCGGGATGTCAATAGAGTTGCTACTAGTAGATATTATTAACTTCCCGGGGCCTTATGCCCTTTCCCCTACCAAAAAAAAGAGTTATTTTCTCTTAAATTTATTCCATAATAAAGTGTAATAATATACTCTCCCTGTCCCATTTTAAATTTGATTTTTTTTTTTTTGTGGTTAATAGTACTTTTAGTGTAGTTTCTAAATATATAAATTTTGTATATTAATACTAAACTTAATATGATGAAAAATTCAATTAAAAATAAATATTTATTCACAAGACTAATCACAAATTAAAAAAGAATCAACTTAGCAATCCTACCTGCATGTTTGGTTCGCTGGAAAATGTTTTTCAAGGAAAATGTTTTCCTTAAATTTGAGAAAAATTGAAACTTTTTTTGTTTAGTTTCGTTCATGGAAAACATTTTTCTCAAAAATGAGGAAAACATTTTCCATGACCCCCTCTTGATATTTTGATTTCCATGGAAAATGTTTTTCGTCCAAAACAAGTAGGACAATTATCTTCTTAATTACCATTATTATTATAATTGTTGTTATTATTGTGTAGGGGTATAATTGTTTTTATACTCATCATTCCTTACAATTTCAAATACAACCAAACAATGAAACCTATATTACCCGTAATTTATTTTCCACCAACCAAAGAATATAATTAATCTTCGTGATATTTTTTTTTTTTTCATGAAATTTTAATTCATTTCCCTTTAAATATTTTTCGTTAACCAAACAGGAATGTTAAATCAGAAGGAAAAATGTATAGTAACATTACAACTATCTTTTATATATTCATTAGTATCGTATAAATTGATCAACAATGTGTTAATCACATAAAAGTACATCAGTAATTAAATGGTAGAATATTAGATACAAATAATAATAATAACATATCAAACATTTTTATGTACTCATAAATCTCATTGTCACGAATTAACAATTGCAAACAATATAATAAATAATGATGTTAAGTAAATGATAAAGACAAAACCTAAGTAATTAATATCCATTAAACAATATAATATATGTGGGGTGTTCTTTGTCGGGAAGGATGAATGACGAAAAACTTGATGTTGTTTTATCTGAAACTAGTATTTGACCCGTGCGATGCACGGGATGTTATTTAAACATTTTTAGTTGTGTGTATTTTATGTTAAGATTTGTGTGATATATTGGGGAATACAGCGCCAAAACATATGAAAGATGAAAATACTAATAGTTGCAAGGTGTTGGTAATATAAAAACAATACATTACAAAATTACAAATTATTGAAAACTTCATGATATACAACATTAGTGGTTGATGTAGTAGTTGAACTTGAGTCTTTTACAATCAGTATTTTCAGACCGTCTGGATTATTAACCCGAGATGCAGCTACGTACAACTGACCGTGTACAAAAACCGGTTTCTTTAGTATTAACCCTACATGAGTCAACGTTTGGCCTTGACTTTTGTTTATGGTCATCGCATATGAAAGCATCAATGGGAATTGCCTTCGTTGAAACTTGAACAGTAATCTTGGATCCGAGGGTGACATTGACATTCGGGGAATTAACACTTTTGTACCTTTGTTGGGACCAGTGAGAAGCTCACCTTCAATAACATGGTCTGCTAACTTTGTGATTATCAACCGAGTTCCATTGCACAACCCAAGAGAATGGTCAATATTTCTCATTAACATTACTGGTGAGCCAATTTTCAAATTCAGTGTATGATTTGGTAGACCCGACACACGAATGCTATTTAGAAATTCCGGGGTGTGTACATCTCCAAGTATACCATTATCACCGTCGGCTTTGCAAACTGCGTCTGAACTATAGTAGGACCTGCTTTCGGCATTATGCAGCTCAGTCATATATTCATTAACTGCGTTGACAACGTCCAGCGTTGGTGCAAGTATAGCACGACCTATCAGATGCTCGGGGTCAGTGTTTCCAACTGCAAACATTGGAAATGTACTTTCCACAATTGCTTTAATGTCGTCCCCCCCCCCCCCCCCCCGGATGATACTAACATGTGATTAGGTATTTGAACCTCTGCGAATCCGTCATTCCGCCCACCAAGCTTTCCATCGCTGATATTGGCAATCCAGTTAGCAAACTCTTGTAATGCCTGCCGGTTCACACCGTTGTGTACCGAACTTAGCCTTAGGTTTTTAGTCAATCTTAAAACTTTGCAACTATCCCATAAATATGATGAATTTATAGCGGACGAAACAATGTCTTGACGTGTACCTTTTGGAACTACTGGAAGAATTTGGCGGAAGTCTCCACCCAGGACCACTGTTTTACCACCAAACGTCTTCATTTCACTGTTAGGGTCAACAAAACGCAATAAATCTCGCATGGTTCGATCTAACGCTTCAAAGCAATGTTTGTGCATCATAGGGGCTTCATCCCAAATTATCAAGCTCGTTTTTATCAACAATTCAGCCAAGTCGCTACCTTGTTTAATGTTACAGGTAGAGTCCTCATTTATTGCAATAGGTATTGCAAATCTCGAGTGAGCTGTTCGACCACCTGCTAACAACAAAGAAGCTATGCCACTTGATGCGACATTTAAAACGATCTGGCCTTTGCACCGGACTGCAGCGGATAACGCTCTGCATAAAAAAGTCTTTCCTGTCCCACCGTATCCATAAACAAAAAATAAACCACCTTTATTGGTTGCAATATCTTGGATAACAGTATAAAAAATGAGACCTTGTTCTTCTGTTAGTTTGGCACACATCAATTCAGAATCTGTCTTCAATTGTTCCGTATTGTAACTCAATTCTTCAAAAACTAATCGATTTTGAAACAACCTTGTATTATCAGTACTTGGTGTGGGCATCGGAGGAAAGTCTTTTAAAGACTTGTTCTGTTGCCCCAACAGGTTTTCCAATTCCAATAATCCAAAGTTCTTTTTCTCTTCCTCTGTTAATACCAAATCTGTTATAATAGCAACATCCAAATTGTTATACGTATAACCTAAGAAAATTGTTGAAAATTATATTGTATAAAAAAATGTTATTTTACCTTGTTGTTTTAATACTCTTCTTTGATAATGTTGAGCATCTTCACACAGATGTTGCCAAACTTGATTCCAAACATTTTCGGGTCTAATAATTGAGGATGATGTTAGTAAAACAACAAATAGCTTCCTCAATGAATGTGCAGTTGACCAGTAGCTTGCCTCATTTATAGCATCAATGTACTCTTTATCGTCGTCTAGCAATCCATGCGCATAACACGCATCTCTAAACGTGAAGTACTCAACACCGTTAACTGTCCTAATGTCTTTGAAACTTTTTGGACCACGGACTATGTTCAATAGACACCTCAAATAATATATCTCACCTGAAGCTGGAGGTACATAGAATATTCGACCAATTGAGGTTCTATTGGTCTTTCTTGGATGCCATTCACGGATGTTTTTTTTCCAAACAAATTTGGTAGGCATCTCAATGTAAGTCAACAAACTCGCTTCTTTGTAATTCTGGTTGGCTAAAAACCATGCATTAAACATGCTTTGACCAACAGTTTCTCTATTGAGTACATTATCAATACTATCATCGTCTTGGAAAACAACTGATTGGCAATCCGGCAAGTGGAAGCTCAATCGCTCAACAGGGGGAGTTCTATACTGGACTTCAAAACTAAACAATCTCCAAGCTGCTTCGGATGCAGATACGTATCTACAATCATAGTACATGTTTATCTCATCGACAATCTCATTACCTGCTTCATCCATCGAAGTCTTATAAAACTCAACAGTTACACGGTCGTTGCCCTTGTTTACATACTTGAAGAGGTACTTGATTGACCTAGATTGGTTACACCACTCTACATTGATGTGAGATTTTTATTTCAAAAGCAAGTACCGATTATGTGGTACAACATATCTATTATCCAACTCTATTCCATTCTTTTTGATTGTCCTCTTATCATCCCTTCTTCGATACAACGGGTAACCATCTTGGTCAAAATGTGATGCATCAATGTATCTTTTTGGAAAATGCTTTGAACACTTGCCATTTGCCATGCACGGGGATTTACTCCTTGCAGCACCACATGGGCCGTGCAGCATGAATTCTTCGACAGCTTGGTAATACTCAATGTCTGAACGCTTGTCGGGAATCTCGGCTGAAATGATCGTATCCATAAAAGCCGGGTTGGCAAAGTCGTTGGTCGCTTGTAGGAACAGTAATATGTGAGCATGCGGAAGACCACGTTTTTGAAATTTAATCGTGTATATTACTGTCAGAAAGGCATCCATATTGTTAGATATAAGCTTCATATAATAATAATTATTATTCTGAAAAATGACATTTATAAGCAACTGCAGTACGCACCTGCCTTTACGCGACCAAATAGTTTCCCATTTTTTATTTCTTTGATTAAACAGTCTAGCTTAAGTTTGAAAACACGGCAGACAATGTCGGGACGATCTTCAGCTTTCAAGTTTCTTTTCTCCAAGAATCGTTGTATCTCGGGCCATTTAGGATTACATGTAAAAGTAATAAACAGATTTGGATAACCTATGAATCTGCAAATTGCCATGGCGTCTTGATAGTTCTGTATCATGTATCTTGCTCCTCCGGTGAAACTTGATGGTAATTTTATTCTTTTTCCTGTCGAGCTGGGTTGAACTTCACCGCGCGTCAGCGCATCAGACAGCCCTTTGTACGCCTCACACCTCAAAGTTTTTTGATTTGACCTAATATAGAGCAACCTCGAAGATTTAACCATAGTATACGCATCAACCAAGAATTGTTGGAATAACCTTTTAGCATACATTATTGTTGAGATCTCATTTGATCTTTCGTGGATACGGACTGCGAAGTACTCTCTTTGTGAAACACTCTTTCTTGCAAAATCTTGTTTTGTACCAAGTGTTGCAAAATGTATATCTTCTCGAAAACCATCCTCCCCGTATGGAAATAAGATTGGGTATTGCAGTGGTAAATATGCCGGGTTTAATTCATTTATTCGTTTCAGGGCTCCAGACCTACACTCGACAACAATATCCCGTTGACCCATGTACGGGTCTATATCTCCAACAATGAGTGCAGCAACCTCGGAAGTAGTTGGTAATGCATAAGTCCTGGCATCTTTAGTCCTCTTTCCTATTAGTCTTATTCTAATTTGACGTTGAGGATTAGACTCCAGAAACGACTTGGCCATTCGGAATGACTTAACCAACACATTGTGTTCATCTAGCACTTGCTTAATGTCATGTACTACCTCACTATGCAATGCAGAACCATTGTTTTCGGCCCTAAACAAAGAAGAATATATAATATAAGATTCTCTGTATTAACCCACGATATACCAAAAAATTTGCAGTAACACAAAAGAGTATACCTCACAGAGTTTAAGCGATTGTCTATCTCATTCTCTGTATCGTGAATGTATAATTGGGCAAATTTCGGTTGAATGCCATCTGAAGGTAATAAGCTTCCAATCCGATGAAAATTTTGACCATTTATACGAAATATAGGAGGCGATGTTCTGTTGTTAATAGTTCTGTCAATTTTTCCATCCATCGACGTAAAGCAGAACATGCTGTTATATGACCTTATATTCTTTAAAAAACATCTGTTTTTATCGTTTGATGTAAAGAATAGCTCATATAGCTTTTGAGGAGGCTTTGTCATAAATGGCAACTTTATTTTACCATTGACGCAACACGCAGAGTATTTTGGACTTTCACGTGACTTTGAATTGCTTGACCGTTCATTGTACCAAAAAAATGAATTACAATGCTCGCAAAGATGCTCTGGACCACCAAGATCAAAATAATAATCTAAAAAAAAAAATTATATTAGTTAGCATGATAATGTATTTTAGTGTAATCCATGGATAATACATTTTTCTTCTAACACATTTCATATGAACTCACCATTAATTGAGGGCATATTGTCATGTAACGGTTCAACAACTTCCTGAAAATCTGTCATCAAATTTCGGTAATGCGGGATGGTTTCACTATCCGGCCCTACCAGGGCTGTTTGCATATTATTGTCATTTGTAATGCAACAATTACTGTCCATCCCTAAAAGAACAATATCCCATTATAATTAATTTGGTTAAATATTAATTTAAGATTTATAACTGTGTGACAATTAAAAACATCTTCTTGAATATATATTTATACCTATCTGCGACTCTGGTGATAGATTTAAGTCGAAGCAGTAATTTTGACGGTTAGATGTAGGCGGATTGCCGGCGGCCACATTGACTTGACCGCAATTTGCTTTAATAAAAAAGATATGTTAATAACTATTCAATTTGACTATATATATAATTCATTAGTAATCTTATTACAATATATTTGTTGAACTTCATACCATTTGATATGTTGCTAAATGGCATTCTACAACTCAATTCTTGCGGTGGTGTAGTATGTATGGTCATCCGTAACGGAGAAGAAACTGTGCATTGCAACAACAACGATTATTATTAATCATTAGAAAATGTAAATGACTACAGGGTTCTTAATTCGGAAAAAATGCATCAATGGATTCTAAATTTATACCTAGTTGTGAATCTGGGGTTCTATTTAAGTCAAACGAATGATTGTGGCGCTTGGTAATAGGTGCTTTTTCACGATCACCGTCAACTCGAGCGGAATTTCCTTTAATTGTATAAGAGCCGTACAAAACACTTGTTAGGATGTTAATTATCACATTTTTAAAAATATTGTACGTTAAAAATGTTTGTTTAGGTTCGTACTATTGGATATGTTGCTTAATGGTATTCTGCTACCCAAATCCTGCAAAGGGGAATTACGAATTGTCGTCCGAATTGCGGTTGAAGCTGTGAATTTCACAACCAACATATGTTAACAACAATTAATTATATAATTGCACTATCATATAGAACACACTTACCATTTGTCACAATACTTAAAGGCGTACTTAACGAACTTTGGAAAACACCACGTAGGGGTGTACGATTGTTTGTATTGTTGCTGAATTCAATGGACGACATGTACGATTCATCAATGACAGTACGATTTTCATTCTCTGTAAACAAAAAAACAATGATATAACTATACATGATATGTTTGGTATCTCAATTTTTTGGATTCATACCGAATCATATTTTACTTATTGCATGATAGTGTGTAAATGATGGGTTTACTTTAATCATAATATTAGAGTTAATTCTAAACTAATATTAATACTTTACAATTTCACAATAATACAATTTTATTATATCAATATTATATATGTAAATATGATATAATATAATATCATGGGCTTATTACTAATAATAATATAATACTTTTATTAGTACTAAAAACCTTTAAATGTGTAGTGTTATAAACATTTGATGGTAACAAATCGCAATAATAACAAATTAATATAAGAACATTTATTATAAAAATGTTAGTAATATTAAAAATAATATTAATATTTTTAATAGTAATAATAATAATTACAAAGTTACCAATTTCTGGGCTGTGTTAACTATACTTAATAATAATAATAATAATAATAATAATAATAATAATAATAATAATAATAATATTAAGAGTAATAATAATAATACTACTAACTCATGAGATGATACTAACACACAACTAATATATAATTAGTATTGCTTGTTGGGAAAAATTACACAAATACCCTAACCTAATGCCCACACCTACGGCTGAGATTGTTTCAACATCTGCTTCATTTCGAGAATGTTCACTCATTCTCCATTTCCGTAGCTAGTAGACATGCTCTTCTTCACTCTGGAGTTGGTTGAACCACATTTCCAGAAACTCTCAGCACGAATTTTAGCAAATTCATGAGATGATGCTATGGCTTTACGTTAATATCTCAGCGCTGATCTTTGTCTGGATAACAATTTTTAATTTCTACCACCCCAGGCCGTGGCGATCTGTACATTCTAGCGGTAACTACTTCAATTTCTTAGATGAATTTTCTATTCCGTTAAGTTATCTAGCATATCTCTCAGTTAATTCCATTTCTATCAAAAACTTCTTAACAAATTGAGTAGATACGGTGAACCCTAACTGTTAAGGGTTTGTTTAACTACTAAGTCCCATTAAAGTGTAGATCTGATGAAATCCTTCATTGGAAATCACATGCACCTGGATTTTGAGAAAAAAATTGGATTCTAATGTTAGTATCTGCATTATCTTGGTGGATTCGAAGTTGTAAAGCCAGATTTTTTTATTTTTTCTTTCATTTTGTTGTTTGCATATTTCTTTTAGAAGCTATTCTAATATTTGTCAGGTGCATGTTGGGATGAAGAAAAAGTGGGTATTGATTACTAACCCTAACTGTTATAAGTTTCCAGATCGTTTTTAATGTTTTTAGTAGAGTTTCAAAAAATCGTATAATAGTTGTATAAACTAAGACAGAATAGTATAACAAAGATAGAAGTCGGTAGATTTACCTTGGTTGTTGCTGGGATGCTTGCGCTTCGAACCAATGGTGGTTGAAGATGTAAGTTTCCTCATGTATTCTAGGGGAGATGAATTGCAAAGTTATGGATTTGTGTAGGTGTGGTGCTTAACAGAGGTTTATAATATCTGATTGTTGAATATATAGGTGTAAATTAGTCAATTAATATTTGCAGACAACATTGGAAAATGTCAATTATAATTGATTTTGGAATACTAAAAGGTTTTGATCAGCTACTTAATGCAATGTGCCATTAATATATTAGCTCATTGATATTATTACTACTTGCTTTTCATACTAAACTAGATTTCTGAACTTTGTTTAGATTCTAATAATGTTTCTTATTTATCTAATATATGTTGTTTTCCAGGTAACAATCAGTGTGCTCATCTAATTTAAGAGAGTTAAATTTGGATGCAAATAAGTTGCTTTGGGTTTGACATCAAAAGCAACTATTAACTGGATGCACCTGAGTTGAATAGAGCACAGAATAAATAGATGTTGCGATATGTTTTTAGCACAAAATGGGAATTGTACTAAAGAGGTTGCTACGCTTGGAACTAAGATAAGTTTTACATTTATAAAATTGGTTTAATCTAATGTGCCTTACGTTGATTATAATATTCTCTATCTTTTCGTACATTAGATGATGCTTATATGATTTTAATACAGTTAATTGAAATTCTCCAATTGCAGGGAAGCTGACAACAATCTGTACTACACTATAGGTGTTTGAGTAGCCCTCCATATAAGAAAGAGGCTGTCAAGTCTATCGTAGGAACAGTTACTACGCAAGGCTCAGAGATAAGTTTTAATAGACTTACAAATGTTGAATATTATGTGATTACCAACAATCAGCTCCTTTTGTGTGTTCATAAATTAGACAGTGTTTATAATGAGTTACCCAGCTAATTCCAATTTTGGCAACTGCAGGTAAGCGGCTACAGCAACGTTATCACCTAACATTAATTTAGGAGGCTTCCTAATAACAAAGTTGGTGAAATCAAATGGTAATTCACTAATCAGCACTAAGTCCATAACTATCTTTCCGCTATAAATCCATTTATTAGAATTTGACTATGATGTGGCTGCCAGTACTATTTTTAATCAATAACTTGTTGTTTAAAGTGCAGTTAGGATGGTATCAAGCAAATGTTGCATAAAGGACCTGGAAGTGAGCATAAAAGTACTTTGAAGTGAGCTTTAAGATGACAGAGGCTGGTAAGTACGTAATCAGGTCTATTCATGCCTACTTGGCTCCAAATTTCTACTTTCATTAACAAAATAAGTTTAAGCCCTTGGTTTAAACATATTCTAAAGGTGTTGAGTAGCAACCAAGGATTGCAAGTGTACTGTTTTAATCATACATTAAAATTCTCAAGTTAGAGTACCTAATTACTTTTGATGGTTTATATATACAATATTACAATCTGATATTCTGTTTACATTATTAGTGGAGTTAATTTTGGATGACAATGAGTTGCTTTGCTGTTAGTCTTTAATGTAGGTGAATTTATAATTAGGTATAGAAAATGTAAGATTAGAATTATTAGTTGGAGCTTAGAAAAGATAGAATAAAATTTAATATATAAAAATGATATTACATTAATCTACCACAATGTTCTGACTCTAAAAAGTAGTCGTACAACTGTGTAGTACATGCTAAAAAATACAGTTTGATGGTGTGTTTGCTAGATGTTATCTTCATCTTCAACTGATTTAGAGATATATATGCCATATTCTTCATTCTGTTCTGCCATGTCAGCCATCTCTTGAGATATTTCACCATATATCTGCAAACTTTTTCCTTCATTGTGGCACCATTCACTGCAAAAAAATCTGCAAAAGGACTATAACAAATCCAGTACCCATAACAGGACCTAGTAACAAATTGTGAGCATTCATAAAAAACAATGATTTAGGAATATAATCCTAAATGATTGAAAGTTTCAGTCTAGCTGTTTGAGTGTAGAAAAAAAAATGTCAACATAAAATCCATTGTTACAAAAAAGAGACCAATAGAGCACATTGTCAATCATTAAAGTCATTACACATCTGCTTCCTTCTCAATCTTGACCACACATTCCTTGGTTTTTTTTTTTGAACTTTGGGTGCTTGAAAATTCATCGATTAGTGATCTCTTGACTGTTCCATTCTCAATACTATTCTCTGCATCCAGTCTCTGTGCAACAACTTGGAGTGGACTTTCAGCTTCATTTGCTTGGTCTGCTTCCTACAAAAATCAGCAGTTCAAACTGTATAAGTAACCAATAATAATAAATTATACAGTAATTGGTACAACATGTTAATCTTTAACCCCAAGTATACCTCTAGATCCCATAGGTCCTCATCTGTAAGCTCCAACTCCAACTTTGAACTGAGATCCCTGTCCCTAACTCCTATTAGTTCGGGTGCATGCTTCTCTACAATCTTTTCATCAGTGATGATCCTCATAACAGGGAAAGCATTGAGATAATTCTGGAACTGTTCTTTGCGAACAGCAATTCTAAATAAGAGATTCAGTCCAATGAGAGCCTCGAGCTCCTTAGGCAGCCCTTTCCTTCCATACATAAAGAGTTAGTATAGATTTTAATGATCCTATATACCATATGATGTTGATTTTCACTGATATTGATGGCATATAATTTAAAACCACAACTTGTCTGGTTCAATCATCTTATAGTTTTGTACGCTTAGTATGGGTATCCTTCAGATCATCTGCACTAATTCCAAGTAGATTGATGCACTCCCTGTCCCATAGAAGAAAAGGAGCATTGCCATCCAAGTCCACAACCCTCACCTTAATTCTGTACCTGAGTGTCCCGTCACCCCAATTCCTGTCACATGTACTACACCATAGCCACTTCCTTTGAGTTTCAGTTTTTTGTTGCAACCCTTTGTTCTACACGAAGCATAGTACCACTCTGGGTCATCAATGAATACAATCCTTGCTGCCACCCAAAAATCCCAAACTGCATAATATATTAGATTGTTAACAGAGTTTATTACAAACCCCACACCATCCCTGACACCATATGTGTGATTATATAGTCCAAATCTTCCAATTAGTAACTGCACCATCAATATGTCTTTGATTGTGCAGGTTTGGGAGTTAACAGGGAGTATTTGGTACCAAAACAAATAACAGCAGAGCTTAAAGAGATAAGTACATACTGGTGGTCTGATTAATCTGAATAAGTTATATAGGACACCACATTTGTGTTACTATTTTTCTAACTCATCATGTTTATTATTATTTAATACAGTCAAAAAACCAGAAATTGGCTCTATTGTGCAGCTTTGAGCTTAACTCAAAGCATGGATTGAATTCAAATAATATATTAGAGGTATTTTTTTAATACATGTTGTCTCAAGTGATAACACAATTGCATAATATAGAGGGCTGCAGAGTTGTTATAATATTTATGTACTCATGCTCTATATCAATTGCAGGTTAAACATGGCAAAAGTTTGAACTACAACTGGATTGCAACATTGTAAAGACATGGATAGCGACAAAGTAGAAGACATAGAGGTATATTATTAATGGTAAAATTCCATCTATAAAATCTAATAACTTTTAAAGATGTTCGGTCTAATGTTTATCTTGATATATATTCTAACCTGTTTTTAAAGTGTGATATACCAATACTTCATGGGCTAATTTGACTATAATTGTAAATGCAGACTACATAATCCAGCAGTTAGCATTGGTGTTCAACAAATATCAGTCAGTTCAAAACTGTATACAGCTTTAACATGCAAGTAAGATCACTAATGACTTAACAGTCTTACCTCCTTGTCTCTGTAGATGTCATTGATAGAACGAACTTCCAAATCACCAGATAGGTTTACTGAATAAGAGCTACATTCCTTAAAACTGGACTGGAAATTATACTGCGCATTGGAGTCTGTTCATGGCTGATACTGTAAAATGATATTCTAAAATCAGGATTGACCTATCATGTAAATTTGTAGCTGCAAAAATAAGAATGGAAGTACCTCTTCCTGAACTCCTCAAATGGGGGAGATTCTTGGTTGAAAAGCAGCTGGGTTACATCATAGGAGCTACAAATCTTGACATCACCCCCTTTAGGAAATAATATTGTAGTACATTAGAACTGCTAATTGATGAATAAGTTAGGCAAAGTTGTAGGATTGAATTTACTTACTTTTTAAACAAACCCTAGCCCTACAAAATTGTATCAACACCAATAATGGCTCTTGTGAAGTAGAATTGTAGAATGCCTCAATCTTGCTTACGTGTTCATCCACAAAGTACACATTAGTTGTATTCCACTATAAATGGCAAAAAAAATTATTAGAATATCAGAAATCTCTAAAATTGAAAATAACCCATAGGCACAGGAATTCAATAGTACTCAGTATCTTCAATGGTGAAGTCATCAGCCTGGAAGTTCTTGCCATTGATG